AGTAGCATTAAAATGTAAATTAATTTTGGTAGTATTGTCATTTTTATGTTATTGGCATGGCCTAGTCATGAACACTGAATATTCCTTCAGCTATTTAAGTTGTACTTTATTTCTTCAAGAAGTATTTTGTAATTGAATATATATATATATACACACAAGTCTTTTGTGTGCTTTGGGAGGTTGATCCCCAGCTTTTATGTATTGTATAATTATTTGAAATGGAATTTCTCTTTTATTGCTTTTTGGTTTTTGCTGTCTTTGTTATAAAATCAGTGCTTTTGATTTTTCAGGATTTATTTTGTGGCCCATCTCAGCTCCTATGTCTCTTTAAAGATTGTTTTACTCAGGTTCTCCTTAATTTGTAAGAAGTAGAATTGCAGGGCCACAAAGATGGCCCATATTGTTTATGGAAACTTTGGGCTTAATAGAGGACCCTGTGTCATTTGAAGTACTTCCTGGATTGGATTTAATTCCTGGATCCTTTCCCTCCCAGGGTTTTCATGCAGTTGTTCCCTATTGGTTTTGCTTCTCTCAGCCCTCTCCTTTAGCATCTTTCCTGGATCTGGAGCCATATGCTGCCTTCTCTCTATCTACTTTCTCCAAACCCTCTCTCTTGCTGATCATCTCCTACATGCACGTCTAAATATACAAATCCAGACCTCCTTTCTTGAGCATCAGTCCAGTATCGTCAACTGCTTGCTGTACATCTGCATTGTATGTCCCATAGACATCATAAACCCAACATGTTCAATATAGAATTTGTTTTTTCTCAAACTCTACTCTTCTCCTCGTTAGCCTATTCTGTTGAGGATACCACCAACCTTCCAGTCCCCCACGGATGCAATCTCAGCCTCTCTCTCACATCCAGTCACTTGCCAACCTTTTTCTGCCTATCTATAGCTAGCCAGCATTTATTTAAATAGATAACATTTGCAAATCACTTTACATGTTATCGTAGTTGATCTTCATGATACCTACTGGGCAGTGCGGTGATTTTCCCCGTTTTACAGAGGAGACAGGCTGAGAGTTGAAGTGACTTGCCCGGGGTCACCTAGCTAATAGGTAAGTGTCTGAGGCAGGGCTTACGCTCAGGTTTTCCTGACTGCAAGGCAAGCACTCTACTATCATGAAACCTAGCTGCCTTTGAAAAATATCACACCCTCTTTCTCCCGCTCAAATGTCTACTACCATGGTTCAGGGGCTCACCTGGACTATTGCCTCTTAATTATTCTATCTGCCTCTTTCCTTTTTTTTTTTTTTTTGCCTTTTTGGTGAGGCAGTCAGGGTTCAATGACTTGCCCAGGGTCACATAGCTAGTAAGTGTCATGTGTCTGAGGCCAGATTTGAAATCAAGTCCTCCTGACTTCAAGCTGGAGCTTTATCTACTGCGCCACCTAGCTGCCCCTTATCTGCCCCTTTCCAATCTACCATCACACCTACCAAATTGATATTTCTAAACCACAGTCTAAACATATGACTTCTTCACTCTAAACACTTCAGGGCTAACCAGAGTTTCTGCATTAAAATTAAAACTCTTTGAGTTTTATATTTAAAAAATTGCATTAACTTCTTTGTTTTTGTATTTTTTAAGTTTTACAACATATCCCTCCTCCCATATCCCTTTTCAAAGAGCCAGCCCTTATAGCAAATAAAAAAGAGAATCGAAGTTCAGTTAAACTAGACAATGTATTGAAAAAAGGTTGATGTTATGTTCTACATCCCTTGTCTCTACTCCTGCATAAAAATGGGAGAAGGGACTTCTCGTGTTTCTTCTTTGGGGCTCTCTTGGTTATCATGATTTCACAGCATTCTGTTTCGGTTGTTTTGCTGTTATTTTCATTTACATAGTTGTAGTTGTATATATTGCTTCCTGCTTCTTACTTCACTTTGCATCAGTTCATATAAGTTTTCCATGATTCTCTCAATTCATAATAGTCAACATGTCTACAGTGAGGTAATATTTCCTTACATGAATGGATCACAGCTTGTTTAGCAATTCCCTACTCAGTGCATTGGGGTACCAAGGAGAGCAGGTCACAGCCTTCTGTTCTGATTGATTCATTGCTCTTCCTATTGACAGTGGCATAGTGATTAGACTACATGATGAAATGGTTGTGTCTACACTGCCTCTCTCTTGGGTTTGCTTCTTTACTCTGCATCAGTTCATGAGTCTTCGATGTGTTGGTCACATCCATTGTCTCTTCTGTCCTTTTGACATCCCCTTACATTTAGAAGCCACCACTTAGTCATTTCCCAACACGTGGGGCCTGGCACATAGTAAGTGCTTAATAAAATGCCACAGGTTCCCCACCCCTACTCTAGGCTGTTTCTAAAGCCTCTTCCTTCAGGAGCCCTTTTAAATTTTGACAACTTCATTCTCTTCATTCCTGACTCCATCCCTTCCCTGAAACACCAGAGGAGGAAATAAAGTTCAGAGACATTCACCTGCCCATCAATCCAGGCTGAAGGTCCATGCAGTGTTACAATGAAGAGACCAGGTATGTTTTCTCCTCTCTGGAGCCATCTCATTCATTCTAGTTATGTAGTGCTCTGTTTTGGTTTCATTGTTCTTTCCTTATACTTTGTTGTCATCTGCGCATGTGTCCTTTTCTTGGACCTCCTTACTTCATTTGGCCTCAATTCGTGCCTTCCTCTGCTTATATGAATTCTTCAGTTGTTATTTTATACTAGCTATTCTCCAACTGATAAAAAATGACATTGCTTCCAGTTCTCTTTTTTAATCATAAAGTGCTGTTGTCAATACTTCCACGGACCCCTTCTCTCTGTGACTTCCTAGGGCATCTGCCTGTGTAGTGCGAATATGTGGACATTTGAATCCCATTCTTAACGTCATCCCATATTGCTTTTCAGAATGGTTAGATCATTTCATAGGCCCAACATCGTGTTTCTTTCTGTCTTCCTACAATGCTCTAACAATGCTCTTCCCATTTTTTTGTCAGCTTGGTTGATTTGCTAGGTGTGAAGTGAAACCTCAGAGGGGTTTTGATTTGCTTTTCTCTCATTAGTGACATGGAACAATGTTTCATCTCATTAAGAGAGCAGTTTTTTTTTAAAGTTGTTTATTTGCTTCCTTTGGCCATTAACCTACTGGGGATTGGATCCACAAGAGGCTGCTCATACTTCTGTTAGATGTTGGCATTTCCCCTGTTTTTTATTCTAAATGTGTGTGTGTGCACGCACATGCGTATTTATTTCACTGGGTTGTAGAGCCAGAGAGATAATATACCTCAGAGGCTTCATTTTACAGATGGGGAACTGACATGAAGTGAGTTGCCCAAGGCCACACAGGCAGTAAGCATAAGAGTCTGAATTTGAATCCAGTTCCTCTGGCCCTGGAGCCAGTCAGCTTCCTATCATGCCCATTTTTCTATGTACGTGGTATTTCCTCTAGGGGAATGTAAGTCGCTTGAAGGGAGAAACTGGTTTTCATTTTGTCACAGTGCCAGTAAAATGTACCCTTCCACGCAGATACCAAATTATTATTATTATTTTTTCTTTCATCATTTTATGGTTGTGTAAAACCCCATTTGAGGTTTTCTTGGCAAAGATACTGGAGTAGTTTGCCATTTTCTTCTCCAGCTCATTTTACAGATGAGGAAACTAAGGCAAACAGGGTTAATTGACTTGCCCAGGGTCTGAGCTAGTATCTGAGGCTAGATTTGAACTCAGGAAGGGGTGTCTTCCTGACTCCAAATCCAAGGGGATCATTGTTCTGTGAAGTTTGGATTCAGTCAAAGGACCGTACTTAAGGATCTAGAAGGTCCTCACCCCTGGTTAGGGTTAATGATCAAAGAGGATGAATACTTTTGAATATTTCAATAGAAATATGTCTTGAGTTTACAGTTGACCAGGCTGAAAGGAGAATCCTTAGGGCAGGAGTTCTAATTTCCAGGGGTCCATAAACTTCCATGAGGGAAAAAAAAATTGCATCATTTGTATTTTCACTAAGCTTAGCTTTTTCTCCAATTAGGATTTTTTATATCATATCATTCCAGAAAGGGGTCTGTAGGTTTCACCAGACTACTAGAGGGGTTTATGACACAGAAAAGGTGTAAAACCCTGTCTTAATGGGACTAGCTAAAGACTATTTGAATGTTTTTAAGATGATACTTTAATTTTAATTTTCACGGGTTAAGTGAATGTAGTTCTGCTGGGGGGCACAGCATCAGGAAGTCAGGAAAGCCTGGAGTCAGGAAGATTTAAGTTCAAATCCAGTCTCAGACACTTATTAGTTGTGTGACTCTGGGTTAATCACTTCATCTTCACATTCATCAGTTTCCTCAACTGTAAAATGAGGATCATAACCACACTTCTACAGTTGTGGTGAAGACCACATGAGGTATTTGTGAAGTGTGTAGCCTGGCACATGGTAGGCATTTAATAAATGCTTGCTTCCTCCCTCCCCACTCTGGGCCAAGCAGAGGGGACAGTGTCCGGACAGGCCAGTGGCGGCTGTTCAGGAGGAGAGGTAGCTGGTTTAGCAGTAGGGCACATAAGATGCTCTTGCTGGAAGGGAGTTACTACTCACTTCACCTGTTTCCTAATCTGTGAAATGAAGGGGCTGGAATAGATGGGACTAGAAGTTCCCTTCCAGCACTATAATCAATGACCCTATGATTCCTAATGTGACTATTCTGATGTACTTCAGAGATTGGCTAGGGCTAGGCTTTCTCATTACCTCCATTGGCGTTCTCTTGCTGGCATATTCTCATTTCAGTAAGTTGCCTGCTGCCGAGGGAGGCCTTTTCCCATCTATTACATTTATGAGATTTGTCTACATTATGACTTTTCTGATGCAGCACAAGGATGAGCTGTCACCCCAGGTTTTTGCATATACAATTTCTAGGGTTTTTTTCTTTAATGACAGTGGCTTATTCACATACCTTGCAGTTTTAGAGTTTGTCTCAGACGGATTCTTTTTGAATTATTAAACTTAATGAGAAATATTAATACAACTAAATAAATTTGCACAGAAATCTTTCACATTTAATTTTAAAATAATTTTATTGATAGTTTGCATTTATATCACATTTTCCAATGTTTTCCTTCCCAGAGAGCCACCCCTTATAACAAAGAGAAAAGGAAAAAGAAATAATTCAGCAAAACCAACCAACATTATCAAAACCCGCCAGATTTTACATACACTATTTCACACCCATACTACCCCAACTCTGCAAAGTGGTGGGTGTGTTGAAAGAAATAATCCGTAATTATGTCAATATTGATTATCCTGCTGACTTATTTTAACATATAAGACTTAGATAGCTTTTAGATTAAGAGATAAGTAATCATTGTAGTCAGAGATTTAAGTTCCTCATTTTGGTAGAGCTGAGCAGTTGAGCTAAGCTCCTGCAGAACTGAGCTGGAATGAACATTTCCCCATTTCACAGAGGGCCAAGTTTCCTTTTGTAGTTGGCTAAGTTAGCACTCTCATCTGTGCTTACTGCAAGTAACATCACTTTTGAGTTAGCACAATAATCCCATGATATCAAGACTGGCTGATGTAAAATTGTAACCAGATGGGCAATAGTGCCTAGCTAGTCTCAGATTGTTCCACAATGTACCTAGCTTAACCTCAAGTCAAGTGTCATGCACCATCCAATCAGAATTCAATCAAGTTTCCCAAGAATATGTAATACTTCATTCCTTTTTTTATGATTATAAAAATAAGCTCTGTAAACCTCATTTGTCTATGGCTACTGAGGAGCCACTGACCTCACTTATTGGCAACTGTTAACTTTGCTAATAAATTGATTGTGTGCAGAACTTTTTGCCTCAGTTTCTCTTTATCACAGATTTCCATCATGGCAGTGTATGAAAGAGTATATAAGTCTCAAATCACTTCTTTGGAGCCAAGCTTAGTCATTATAATTTCACAGCATTAATTTTTTATCATTTTGCTGTTGGGTTATTTCCATTTCCATTGTTGTAGTTATTGTGAAGCTGTTCTTTTCCCAGTTCTGTTTAGTTAACTTTGTATCAGCTCATTTAAGTTTTCACGTGCACCTCCATATTCAACATGTTTATCACTTCTTACAGAACAGTGATACTACACAGTCACTTATATGGAAAGAATCTGAATATGCAGAAGTCCAATAAGTTTTCAGTTACTCCACAAGTCTCTCTTACATTCTTGTTCTTTCATTTCAATCACTCTTACATGGTAGTAGCTATTGCGACCTTTATTTTGTTTGTTGTGGTTACATTCTGTACTTTGTCATAAAGACCCTCATCTACATTTCATCATATTCCTCAAAGTTGCCTATTTTAATTACATAATGGGATTTCATCATATGAATGTCTCACAATTTAACACTTGCTTTCAGTTCTTTTTATTATAAATATGAAATATTAAAATCATAGACCAGATAGCTGTTTTGTTTCTGATAACACTTTTAGAGTATATAGTTAACCAATGCAATGATCAACAAGTGTTTTGTGTTTTTTTGTGACATTTACTGTGTACTGAGGAACTGTTTTCTAAAGTCTCTTTCTACCACCAATATCTCTCTTCAATTCCACAAGCAGTTTCTAATCATTTTTTTGATAATTTGATGAGTATCTCAATGATACTTCAATGTATATAATTTTGATTGAGACTGAACACTTTCTGTGTTATTAGCAATTTGTTTCCTCATTTGAAAATGATCTCTTCATACCCACTGACCATTTCCCTATTGTGGACTAAGAGCTACCTTTGTAGATTTTTAGTAGTTCTTTTCATATTTATCATATTTGATATCAACACTTTTCACAACTGCTCTTTTACTTTGGTTATATTACTTTCATACTTTTCCATTTTTTTTGTCCTTAAATACATCTTAGCTTGACCCTTCTAATTCCTCCAAATTCTTTAATACCTTTTCTTAATTGTACAGTTGAAATAATTGCATAACCCCATTTTCTTTCCCCTCCCCTGCCTTTTTAGTTCATTTTACATATATATGAGGCTACAAATCAGGGGGAACTTCTTTTGCTAGTTTGTATTTTTGATAAGTTTATAAAACATTAATATTTTGTCTCTATTTTGTTAGATAGACAGTATCCCTATTCTGTCTCCTTACCCTCCTGCCAGTACTAGAATATTCTGATTAAAAGAAGTTTGTAATATGTTTTAATGTCTGGGAGTACATGTCTACTTTAAATTTCTAGGGTTTATTTCTAGTATGAATTTTCTGATGCTGAATAAGTGTTGTACACCGAGTGAAGGCCTTACCACATGTAGTACATTCATAAGGTTTCTCACCACTATGTATTCTCTGATGTTGAGTTAGGTATAGTTTCCTGCCAAAAGCTTTTCCACATTCACTACATTGATAGGGTTTTTCTCCACTATGAATTCTCTGATGGAGAGTAAGACAATGGCCATTTCGGAAGGCTTTACTACATTCATTACATGGATAGCACTTTTCCCCGCTATGAACCGTTTGATGACGGCTAAGGTACAGATTGCGGCTGAAGGCTTTTCCACATTCACTACATTTATAAGGTTTCTCTACAGAATGAATTTTCTGGTGTTCACTGAGGCTCCCTGGACGACTAAAGGCCTGTCCACATTCATTACATTTATAAGGTTTCTCTCCCGTATGTATTCTGTAATGAAGAGTGACCTGTGAGCTGTTGCTAAAGGCTTTACCACAATCTTTACATTTATATGGTTTCTCCCCACTATGGACTCTCTGGTGTTCAGTAAGGTGTCCCCTCTGGGTGAAAGCTTTTCCACAGTCACTACACTTATAGGGTTTCTCTCCATTATGAATTTTCTGGTGTCGAGAAAGGTCTCCCCGCTGGCTGAAGGCTTTTTCACATATGTCACATTTATATGGTTTTTCTCCAGTATGAATTCTCTGATGTAAACTAAGGCCTATACCTTGGAGGAAGGCCTTCCCACACTCAAGACATACATGGGATTTCACACCAGTGTGAATTTTCTGATGTACATTGAGTGCAGAGCTATTGCTGAAGGCTTTCTCACATTCACTGCATTTATATGGTTTCTCTCCAGTATGAATTCTCTCATGCCGAGTAAGGTATGTAATTTGGCTGAAGGCCTTCCCACATTCAGTACATTTATGAGGTTTATCTCCATTATGAATTCTGTAATGTTCAGTAAGACGTCCTTTCTGGATGAAGGCTTTTTCACATAGATTACATTTATAGGGCTTCTCTCCAGTGTGAATTCTTTCATGCATATTGAGCTGTGAGCTGATGCTAAAGGCTTTACCACATTTGTTACATTTATAAGGTTTCTCACCACTATGAATTCTTTGATGTTTAGTAAGGTCTCCCTTCTGGCTGAAAGCTTTTCCACATTCATTACAATCATAAGGTTTCTCTCCATTATGAATTTTTTGATGTCGAAAAAGGTCTCCCCTCTGGCTAAAGGCCTTCTTGCATATATTGCAATTATACGGTTTCTCTCTAGTATGAATTCTCTGATGTTCAGAAAGATGACCCTTCTGGCTGAAGGCTTTTTCACATATGTTACATTTATAGGGTTTCTCACCAGTATGAATTCTTTGATGTACAATGAGGCCTGCATGATTACTGAAAGGCTTCCCACATTCATGACATTCATAGGGTTTCTCTCCACTATGAATTCTGTGATGCAGAATAAGGGATGAGCTATTGCTGAATGCTTTTCCACATTCATTACATTTATAGGGTTTTTCTCCATTATGAATTCGCTGATGTGCAGTAAGATGTCCTTGCTGGCTAAAAGCTTTTTCACATACATTACACTTATAAGGTTTCTCTCCTGTATGAACTTTCTGGTGTCTAGAAAGGTCCCCTTTCTGGCTGAAGGCTTTTTTACATATGTTACACTGAAAGGGTTTCTCTCCAGTATGAATTCTCAAATGTACAAATAGTCCTGTTCGATTGCTGAAGAGCTTCCTACATTCATGACATTCATAGGGTTTCTCTCCACTATGAATTATGTGATGTAGAATAAGTGATGAACTATTGGTGAAGGCTTTTCCACAGTCACTACATTTATAGGGTCTCTCCCCATCATGAATTCCCTGATGCTGAATAAGGTGTGTGATCTGGCTGAAGGTTTTCCCACAATCTCTACAGATATATGGTTTACCAGAAGAATGACTTCTATGACATTGAGTAAGGTGTCGCCGCTGGTGGGAAGCATTGCCAAATTCAGTACATGCATAGGATTTCTCTTTAGCAGCTCTTCCTGGATCTCCGTTAAGGTCTGAGGAATCACTGAGGGCTTTACTACATCTGCTGTCCTTATGAGATTTCTTTCCTGAGGAGACTCCACTGTGATCACTCAGTTCTGAAGAAAGTATGAAGTTATTTCTATGTGTATCATACTTAGAAAGACTCTTTTCTAAAGAAACATTGTTTTGTGTATCAAGGATTGACTTCTGATTGAAACTTTTCACAAATTGATTCCCTTTATGGCCTCTGTCCTTATTAAAATTTGTATCCTGACTTCCTTGCATCAGATCTCTTGCTTGGTTATTGGCTTTATGCCTGTCAGAGTTTTTACAGTTTCCAACTTCTCCAAATTTACAGTCCCTGGGACCACCCTTTGTGAGTCTTTCCTGGGATATGTCTTTCAGGGAAATGCACTGTATAGGGATTGTCTTCTTGGTCTCTGACTGAGTCTCCCAATCTGAAATACAAAGAGAAGGGAAAGAAAAGAGAAGAGGAGAAAGGAAAGAACAGAGGAAAGAAAATAATTTTTTCCTATTTTCTAGGTGGGGAGAAAGGTGTCAAGGATCCATTTCAAAGTGTATGAGAATACTGAAATATGCCAAACACCAAGAATCAACTTTGTGTTTTTCTGTAAAATCTAGGTTTCCAGTATAGCACCTCCCCTCCACTCAAGGGGAAGAGTGAGGTTGGGGGTTGGGTGGCTCCAGTAGGATTAGGGTTTGAAGAAGGAAATAAGCTCCTGTCTCTACTCTGGACACAGATACTGAGGGGGAATGTCTTCTGGGTAGATTCTAACCCTGTCTATTTGCTCACCTAAGGGCTATTACCCTCAAATGTAGGATTTTTCTTCTTTGTGAAAGAGACAGTGTTCTTTGTCTGGGTGTCATGTCTTTCAGCGTAGAGAGCATAAAAACAACAGAGAGCTAGCACATTCAAAGGCAGGTGAAGATTCATTTCAAATGAAGTAATAAAAGGAAGAGATGAATGATTAAGGAAGGGTCACGAGGAGGAACAGAGTAAGTAGAGGGGATGGGGGACAGCAGCAAGACAGGCCAAGGAGCAGGCAAGAATGGAGACTCTGGTATCACAATACCACCCTGCTCATTCCTGTTAAAACAGACTCCTACCTAGTCTTCCTCCCTAGGTTTCTCACTCTGATTTGCTAAGAACACAGTGATTGGATTAATGTCTACACCATGCATTCAGACCCTGTAACTGTACTGCTCTACACTTCACTCATCCATTTCCTATTCTGAGGTCTTGCCTTCCCAAACATCATGAATTTAAGGGGTCAGTACATGGGTATCATGCTGCTAATTCAGAATGGTTTGTGTGGTAGGTAGCCAAAAGCCCTCACTGAACAAAGCATAGGACTCCCCATCCCAGAGAACTCAGCTCCAGAACAGGTAAGGCCAAGATCCAGCCTGCTCCTGCGACAAGGTCAAATCTTCTGGGGGGCCCAGCTCCTCCTGTCACAGAGAGTCCCACGATAGCCTGAATGGCCATGTAGGCTGCCCCCTCCTCCCACAAAAGCATGAATCAAGGAAGCCCAAGAGGTGATGTCACGTGAGATACGGGGCATGCGAGATGTTCCAGGCAACTATGGTTACTGAAACATGCATGCCCACCAAAGAGCAAATGGTGGTGTTGCAGACACTATGCCCACTTATCGAGTTTAACAGACACAGCCTGATGACTAGAGGCAGTGGCTGGAGTTCTAGTCAGGAAGATACGAATTCAGATCCTGCCTCAGACATGGCCTAGCTGTGAGGCCCTGGAAAGTCCCTCTTCTGTCATGATAGAATAGCTATCACTGACTAGCAAAGTGCTTTACACACGTTACCTCATTTGATACTCACCCTGAGAGGAAGGTATTCTTACTATGCTCATCTTACAGATGAGGAAAAGCGACTACCCAGGTCTATCTGCTACCCTGCCCTGCTTGGTTATGTAAAACGAAGCCAGCCCAATCTAGGATCCTATGAGGCCTCTTTGTGGAGCTGGACTCACGGTTCACAGAACCAGAGTCTTTCTGCGTGGGACGGGACATCTATTTGGTGGAGCCATCTCCTGGGCTGGAATCGTCCCTATGATGTCCAATGACAATGAAGCGTGCTAAATTTAGACTGCTCCCCTCTGTAGCAAGATTTTTTACATTTTAAACTGAAATCTCCTTCTTCCAACAATAAGGACCAGTTCTGTCCTATCCCATGTAGCCAAGCCAAACCAAACGACTCCCTTCCCTTCCAGGGCATGCAGACGGCTTTCCACCTCCTCTTCTCCAAAGCCAACAACCCCAGCTCCTAGAACAAATCTGCAGAGGGTGCAGCTGCCAGTCCCCAGGCCAGCCTGGGACCCCTTCTCTCCAGATGCTCCACACACTGGTCTTTTACAAAACGGGGCACAGAAGGACCAAACAGGGCAGAGTGGAGCCCAGCAGGGCTCTCCTCAGACATCTTATTTCATTACCTCATTTCCCACCAACCTGCACTCATTTTGGACTTGGTTTTGCTTCTTCACTAAGCCCCCAGGAAACTTGTCATTGGGAAATTTCATCATCTTTCAAGATCCATTCCCCCTTTGTCCCTCTGACTAGAGGGGGAGCCATAAACGCCATTTCAGGAGAAGGTAAAGACTCACAGCTTGGCCTTCTTTGGTGTACTGTCTTCATCTCCGGGCAGGCACTTTCCTTTTCTGTATTTTTATTGCTAGTAACTGGCACAGGGCCTGGCACTTAGGTGCTTAATAAACGTTTACTGCTGCTTGACTAGGCCCCCTCCTTATTCTGGGCCTTTGAACAAGGGAGCCCCCTGCCCCGCCCAGTGTGGAATCTGCTCCCTGCTCACCCTTCCCTCAGGGAATCAGAGGTTCCTTTCAAAGCCCAGCACAGCTGCCAACTTCTTCCTGAGGCCTTGCTGGAGACCCCCAGATGACACTGACCGCCTTGGTCTGGGTCTGAGCCCACGTGACATACACCAGGACCTGATCTATGTGACTCCACTGCCTCACACTGGGCTTGCACAGAGAACAGACTTATGTTTGTTGACTGGGTCCTGCTGGGCTTCTGTCTGTGCAGACCCTGATCCCATCTGCTGCTCTGGCTGCCCTGTCACACTGCTGACTCATTGTGCCTGGAGCCCCCTCACGCCCACATCACAAATCGAGGGAGACTTCCCTCGTGTCTGGGATCAAGCTTAGGATCAAGTGAGAAAACAAAGGCAGTACACTTTGCACACCTCAGGGTGCTATGAAAATGCTAGTGACCACTACCATCTTCCTTCCTCCTTTGTCTCTATCCTCATCATTCCCATCATCCCCATCATCCTCATCAGTCTCAAGATTACCTTCCTCCTCCTCACTATCATCTTCCTTTTCCTGACCACCTCCTCTTCCTTATCATCACCATTACCATCCTCCTCACCATCATCATCTTAATTCTCACCATCCTCCTCCTCACTATCACCTTCCTCATCTTCACCATCCTCATCCTTATCATCACCATCACCATCCTCCTCACCGTCATCATCCTAATTCTCATCATCCTCCCCCTCATCCTTATCACCATCATCATCCTCATCCTTACCACCCACAGTGTCAGTGACGGAAGTGGGCAGAAGGTTCAGCCTGGATTTATGGCAAAGGTCACTGGTGCCCCTAGGACTGCTGTCTATAGAGTCATGGTCCAACACTGTAAGAAGAAGGGTGAAGCCAGGAGATGGGCACAAGTGTATCTCAGTACAGTTCATCCAATGTTTTCTAAGCACTTGCCACATGCAGGTGTGACAGGTGCTGGGGACAAAGAGACAAAGCCAGTCTCTGGCCCACAGCCCCTTATGTTCTCCTGGGATGGGGAGAGATAATAGAGCAGGGAGTGATGGGGGTAGAGAGGGAGACAAGCACCTGGGAGTATCTGTGGAAGGAGGAGAACACTGTTGGCTAGGGAGGTCGGGAAAGGCTTTGTGGATTCCCAGAAGAAGGTAAGCTTTGTGAGGGCAGGGACTGCTTCCTTTCAGCCCTCCTAGTTCTAGCACCCAGGGCAGTGCTTAGCACCCATCTGGCACTTGTGGAATAGAACCAAACTGACCCCATGGAGCCTGAGCTGTGCACTCAAGGAAGAGAAAAGGAATGGGAAAGGCTGGGATGGCATTTTGTCATTGGGGAACAGTCAGCAGCCCAGGGCCAAAGAAAGAGCACGGCCTTGCAGGCAGGAAGGTGTGGGGTTCAGAGTCGTCACTTAGCTGTTGTGGGACCCTGGCCAACACCCTTCACCTCTTAGAGGTGCTTCCATTTCTTCGTCTGTAAAATGGGGATAAAAACATCTGGGGGACCAGGGTAGATGTGAGGCTCCAATAAGAGGAGGCAGGCAGAGCCCCCTGAGTGTGGGCCGACTTTATACCTCACATATTGGGAGTAGGGAAGGAATATGGAACAGGCTGAGGAGGCCCTCAGTGCTAGCCTGGGAGAGGCCAGGACTCCCTGCCTGCCTGCTGTCCTCACCTGCACAGGGGCTTCTCGGCTCTTCCTCCAACAGCATCCATGGGCCTTCCCCACACTCCAGCTGGGAGATCAGCTCTGGCTTGGAAACCGGAAGCCCTGCTCAGGGGGAGAGAAGTGGGAGCACCCTCTTGAGTCCATCCCAGCTCCCTCCTCTTCAGGGAGAGGCTGGCACTTTGGCAGTGCCCATGGGGTGGGATGAGGCAAGGCCTCTGCTGGGCACTGTCCTGGGACCTGAGGGAGCCAGTCTGGGACTACACACCTGCTGTAGGTGCTCAATAAGTGCTGGTTATGGGGATTCTGGGGCTGAATTTGGGAAACCTATTTCTACTTGCAGAGCTTTTCCTAGGAAAAGGGGCATAAACTGCCTCTCTGAAGGTCGGCCAAGTCCAAAATGAGGTGAGCAGCCCTTCAAATAGCCCACAACACTTAGCAAGTGAGGACATCCCCTCCCTGGGGAGGGCAGACTGTGAGCCCCCACGGAAGCTCTGGATCTTACCCAGGGAGACAAAGTTCTCATAGTTCTCCAGCATGACCTGCCGGTACAGGCTCTTCTGGGCCTGGGTCAGCTGCCTCCATTCCCTCTGGGTAAAGTCCACAGTCACATCCTGGAATGTCACGGACTCCTGAAACAGCCAATACGTTTCTGCTTTCACTTGGTCCAGAGGGAGAGGGGCAAACTGTGTGGGACGGATGATTCTGAACTGTAGTATCTGCTCACTCTTTCTCCATCCCAACCCTTCTTGGCCCCTCAGCCATTCTGGGTCCTCTGGGTCACCTCCTTCTACAGTCTTTGCTTCCTGTGATTATTTCTTGGTTCTCCTCCTGCCCATCTGACCACTCTGCTCCTTGGCCCTTCACTAAAGACATACTCTCTTTATGCCCCCACCATCCCTGGTGGGTTTAACTATTAGTTTGTTCACAGTAGTTTGCATGTCTTCTCCCCACTGGAGTGTGAGCTCCTGGTTTCTGCCCTTCTAAGTGATCCCAGTGCTTAGGACAGAGCCTGGTAGACGTGATGCACTTAAGGGATGCTTGTTGGCTAGACCTGAATATTCTCCTGATGTCAGCTGGAGCAGTAGGTCACTCCTGACCCAAGTGACAATGGAGTTGTAACGGGACCCCAAGAGAGGACAAAAAGGCGCATGAGGAGCCAGCCTCAGAGGCAGGTCAAAGATATCAAGTGCCTACTGTGCACACAATGCTGGGGGAACACCAGGAGGCCACGTTCTCTGCCTCTGCAGAGTTTAGCATCTACCAGTGGGATGCTTTCACCTGCAGTGATGGTGGAAGGGGAAGATGCGGACTGAAGGCTCCAGGACACACTCGAGTGGGGGATCAGACAGCCTCTCCCCAAAGAGGGAGCATGGGAGCTGGGCCAACAGGGATAGGAGAAGGGCGAGGCAGGGAAGGTGGCCTTGAACCTGGAATGGGTGACTGTGGGTGGCAGACAGTCTGGAAACCAGCCAGGCCGAGGGGCCTGCTTTTGATGGTGTGATCTACAAGATACACAATTACACAGATATCTAAGAAGAGAACCATTCCCCAATGGAGAGGGGGCCAAAGACATGACAGCACCGGCATAAAAAGAACTGCAAGTAAATCACAAGCCAATCACCAATAATATAAGAAATGTGAATCAAACAACCCCCAGGCTTAACCTGAATTGGTACAGACCATCCTGGGAACCAATTTGGTGTTTGGCTAAGAAAGGGACAAGAAGTCTATTGACTCATGAGACCCAGAGATCTCATGGTCCAAGAGGTCAAAGGGAGAGCAGGGGTCCCATCTACACCAGAATATTCATAAGCTGGAGACAACTAGAAACAAAGCAGACACCCATTGATTGGAGAATGGCTCAACAAACTGAGGCCCAAGAGAGTAAAGAGAAGCCAGGGAAGGCTTTGAGAACCAGACTCAAGGTCTCTGAGGAAAGAACAGCCACTACCATGAGCAGCCTGGTTCTGGGGAAGGGGGCAGGGCTGGGGGGAGGGTCAGTCCCCCTCCCCTCTCCTCCTAGTTCATCATTACAAAAGGTGGCTCCTGATCTGAGAGGTGGAGGGCGGGGGGGGGGGGGCAGAGGGGCAGAAAGGCCTCAACCACAACAACAGTTATTCCAGTGGCTGGGTGAGAGGTGGTGAGGGCTTGGGGACACAAAGAGACCTCATCTCAACTAGAGTTATCATTTGTGTATTTGGGTACGTATGTGTGTGTGACTGTGTGTACATGTCTGCGTACGTGTGTGTAACTGAGTGTGCGTAAATGAGTGTGACTGTGCACGTGTGTACTTGTGTGTGCACGTCGACGTACATGTGACTGTGTGCATGTGTGTGATTGTGTGTACGGGAATGTGCTGCATACACGTGTGATTGTGCATAGGTGTCTATGTATATGTGACCTGAGTGTGGATGTGACTGGATGCATGTGTGTAAAATTGCACATATATCACCACATACATGGGTGATTCTGTGTGCATGTGATTCTGTGTACTTGTGTGTACACATCTATGCATGTATGTGCAACGGAGTGTACGTAAATGAGTGTGACTGTGCGTGTGTGTAATTGTATGTATGTCTATGTGTGTGACGTGTGTATGTGTGACTTGTATGTGTGTGCATGTGCACACATATCTCTTTGGCTATTGATCCCTTCTAGCCCTCCACTCACCGATGAACTCACAGGGGACTTGGAGTTGGAGGAAGGGAGGGAGGAAAGGAAGGAGGGAGAGAGAGAAGGAGAGAGGGAGGAAGGAGGAAGCGAGGAAGGGGGGGAGAGGGAGGGAGGAAGAACGGAGAGAGAGGGAAGGAAGGAAGGAGAAAGAGAAGGAGGAAGAGAGGGAGGGAAGAAGGAAAGAGGGAAGGAAGGAAGAAATCAAGGAGGGAGAGAGGGAGTGAAGGAGGGAAGGAAGACTCCTGAGGTCAGAGCAGGCAACAGATAAAGTCTGGGTTCCAGACCGGGAGACCCAGGTTCTGGTCTTGATCTGTCATTGGGGGTTTCGGTCTCCCCCTCCGCTGGCTGACTCCCAAGCACCCTCCTGGCTGCGGGGATGGGTGGACTCTGCAAGTATCCCACTTGGGGGCAGGGGCTCGAGGACCGCAGGGGGATCCACACTCTACCGAGGACCGTCCACTCACCAAGCCGGGGGCTGCCGGGAGCCCAGAGATCGCTCCCTCCTTGTGCCGACCTCCGCTCATCTCTCGGGGGAGGGCAGAGTCTGCGGGAGAAGAAGGGGGTGAGGAGGGAACCCCCCCAGTCCCCACCCCTGCCCAGGTCCCTCCTGCCCAGACCCTTCCCTTGCTGCCCCTGGAGTCCCTGCAGAGGTGGGGGGCTGGAGGGGGCCCCAGCAGCTGCCCGCGGGGATCTGGACAGCCTAGGAGCCCCTGCCTGGCTCCCGGGATCTGGGCCCCGAAGCTCACTCACTATCTGCAGCTAAAGGGAAGTCACTCACATTTTCTGCTGAACGAGGAAGGCAATGAGGATGGGAAGCAGGTGTCATTCTCACCTGGGTCCTCAGACATCCTCCGTGGTCGTCCCTGCTCTGGTGCCCGGGGTCCGTGCTGTCCTCTCCGCCCAGGTGGCCAAGCTGGGGCGAAGGCCATCCTGCTGAGTGCGGCCAGGCAGATGGGAGGGTCACCCCTTCTGGTGCAGGAGCCTGAGGAGAGAGCCAGAGACACCCCCACCCGCCCTCTTTACAGATGTTGGTGGTCGGCCTGCAGAGTGCCCACCAAGGGTGGAGGAGGAAAAAGTGGTGGAAAGGTCAGGTGGCCCTGGGTTCAAGTCCCACCCTCCCTCCTTCCCTTTCCTGGGACGTGGGCACATGCACCCGACAGCCCGGTCATCACGTAAGGCACATAAGAGTGAACCAGGCACACCAGCCACGGTGCGCCCAGGTGTGGGCGCCGGGAAGTTCAAGGGCAGCGGCCTTCCCCTGCACCCCAGAGAGTGAGACCTGGGTGGGGTGGGGGTAGAGACAGAGAGAGATACCGAGGCACAGGGGCAGAGAGGGGGAAACAGGGAGAGACACAGAGATAGAGATATACAGAGACACAGAAACAGATGGGGAGACAGAAAGAGGCACAGAGATAGCGACAGAGGCACAGAGGCAGAGGAGACTGATATACAGAGACACAGAGAGATGAGGACACAGATGGGGAGAGACAGCAGAAGCAGAGAGATATCGAGGCGCAGAGATAGTGACGGGGAGACAGAGAGATGAGGAGCCAGACCCGGCAGTGGAGATAAGGCTGCGCAGGGACGGGGCACGAGCACACACTTACATACCCACGCTGGCACGCGCAGGTAGTGACCTGGGCAATCCGGATAGCACGCATGCGCACGGCTTCGGACACGCGTCTCGCCCACCCCAGCTGGGCTTGCGCAGACCAAACCCCGGAACTACCTTTCCCACAATACAGCGGGAGGCACGGATATGAGAGGTCGCCCGGCTCGGGGAATTCTGGGAATGGGGTGCTTGTCGTTCTGGTCCGAGACTCGCGACCTCCTTCCTCCACGTCCCGCGCTGGGCCCCACGTGACCCAAGCCAGTTTCCCCCCCCCCCCGGCCCCAGCCCTCCAGGGGTCCGTGTGGCTCCTGAGACCCCTAATATCCTGAGGGGGTGCGTTGGACATTGTACTGTCGTCTCCCCCCCCGCCCCCCCGCCTCTTGGCCCGGCTCTGGCCCAGCCGCCCAGGCCTCTCTTCCCCCTTCCCTCGAGGCCCCCTCTTTCCTCCCAAGTTGATTCGGAGAAGTTGGGGGGGGCTCCCCAAAGCCGGCGTGGCGTGGCCGTCCTCGGGAGCTCGGGTCTCTGCCCTGTGCTCAGGAAGGGAAGGAAACAAGCCGTCGATCCATCCACACTGCCTAGGCGCCTACTCTGTGCCAGGTTGGGCTAAGCGTGGGGGATCCAGAGGCAGGCCAGGGCCAGGCCTGCCCTCCAGGAGCTTCCAGTCTAACGCCGTCCAGGGCCGGTTCCAGATGGCCTCAGTGGGAGAGGATTCCAGCGGGCAGGCGCGCCTTCGGGAGCTTTCCAGGGCCCGTGCAGGCAGATGGCCCCTGTGTCCACCCCGCTCCCCTCCAGTCTCGAGGTCCAGGCAGAGAAGGACAGGGCCTAGCGCCCCCCACCCCCCGCAGCTCGCTTCTTAGACCCCGGAGGGTCCGAAGGCGGCTCTGGACCAAAGTACGCCCCCCCCCCCCCGCAAGTCGGACTCCTTTCCTGACCCGTTCTGCAGTGCAGCTCCTCACATCTACAAGTGGATCAGGAGCTGCCTCCTCCAACTGCAGCTCCAGGCTGAGCTTACCCTCCCCAGCTACTCTCCTCCTCTGGGTTCCAGGGGCACTCCGGGCTTGGGAAGCCTTTCCCTAATGACCTTGGAGGTGTCTTTCCTCAGCTGTTAACTGCCAGGGATCAGTGTCCAGTTCCATTTCACTTACTGACATCAAATAGATTTCACAAAGAGATATTGGCTGTGAACTATAAACGTTTCCCTTTCCCCTCCATACCTGACGGCACACTCACCCATCTGCCATTTTGGTGGCTGGATGCACGGGCTCAAACTTAATGCAGGCTCTACATATCATTTGCCACGTCAGGCACCCTCACATATGTGACATGATTGATGATTCCGAGGTGCACAGCTCTTCATTCTGAGCTGTCTCAGGTACTGCTGGGTTGGGCCTCTCAGGTCATTCTGTTCGACTGGATGGTCACAAAACACATGCAAAGAAGCAAAACAGAGATTCCCATAGGGCCAGAGGCCTCTGAGCATCTCTCTCATCCCTGGCAGCATCTCCGAAGGAAAGAGAACAAAGCAAAAATTTCACCTTTGGGGGTCAGTGCCTTTTGAATGCCCTCCAGCTGTGGCTATTCACCTCACCAGCTTCAAAAAGTAGCCCTCAGGAGTTAAGACATTAGTTCACAATCAGTTTTCTTACAAGGAATATGGACCCAATTTTTAACAGATGGAAAAACTGAGGTACTGTATGACCCACCAATTAGTAAAGGGATTCCTGAGGAGTCAGAGGAAAGGCCTAGGTATCTGATTCCATAGCTTGTGCTCAGGACACTGCCAGAAAATCATTTCACATATAATGGGGGAAAGACTAGGGATCTCTGGGAACACTTTGCAGTGGCTACAAAAGAATGAAGACCTACCCCAAGAATGTTGGACACAGCCTGCTGGGTACTTCTCCCCATATCTCCCTTCCTCTCCGTCCCCACCACTCCATAGAGGATGCAGGGCTCATACCATCAGGGATGGAGTAGGATAATTAGACTCTCTCTGTCTCTAAGTAGAAGCTCTAACAATTGGCTCCCAAAGGCCTCCAAACCTGACAGTGATTCCCTTAGGGCTGAAGGCCCAGGTGTGTGCACCCCACTTTTCCGAGTCCCACATGGGGCCATTGCAACCCTTAACTGTGTCTTCTCTGCTTCTGTGAATTTACCACCATCTGGATCAGAGGAGAGGAAATAGCACAGTGAGAAGCCTTAGAGATATTGCCTTAGATAAACAAAGACCAGTTAGATAAGTGAAGGATCCCGGCCTGGAGAGGCTTCTTAAGTCAAGTCCACAAGCCTTTATTAAGTACTTCCTTAATACCTATGGTACCATGCTAAGCATTAGGGGCATAAAGGCGTCCACCCAAACCTCCCCAACCGCAGCACCGGCCCTCGAGGAGCAATCCAATCCAGTAAGGGAGACAGTGAGCAAACACTTAGGTATGAACAAGCTAGAGGTGGGGATTTGGAAATAACTGAAGGGGGGGGCAGGCACTAATGACTTGGGGAGTCAGAACAGGCCTCTAGGACAAGGCTGTGCTTGAGCAGAGCCTTGAAGAGAGCTAGGGGTCCCAGGAGGTTGTGTTAAGGAAGAAGGGCACTCCAGATACGGGAATATGGTCTGTCCAAAGGCATGTAGATGAGATGAGCAAATAGCAGCTGAGGCATTGGGGTTCAGGGAAAGTCACGCTGAGTTCAGAATTGGAAGATAAAATCCTGCCTCGGCTACTTCCTTCTGGGACCTGGGTCAATGACTCTGCCTGGATGAGGCTCAGTTTCTTCATCTGTAAAAACCAGTTAGACTTACTCTCTGACTTCTGAAGGCCCTTTCAGTCTCTGATCAGAAGTCGGCCAGTTTGGTCAGAGGGTGTCAGGGAGAGTGTGTGATGGTCCTGCAAAGATTGGCCAAAGCCAGGACATTAAGGACTGTAAGTGCCAAGCAGAGGATAGTGTGTTCGAGGTAGTGGAGAGCTTCTGAAGCCTTGTGAAGAGACCAAGGCTTTAGGGCATCAGTTTGGCAGCTGAATAGAAGATGGATCAGAAGGGAGGGACTGGTGGTGATTGCTGTATTTCAGGGCAGGGCTGACATAGGCTCACACAGGTCAGTGTCTTCCCTCTCATTGCTCAGAGGCAGGGTGAAGGAAGGAATGAAGAGGAAGGGGCATCCCTCAGGCAGGTGCAGATGGGGGGAGCCAAGAAAAAGCCATCAGCTCTGCCCTCAAGGGGCTTGCTGTCGACCTCAGCAAAGACTCCTCAGTGACTATCCCCATTCAGAAAGTGCCCAGTCCTAAACCCAGTCACCCTGAGAGTGGAGGAGGCACTCAGAGCAGAAGAAGGGCATCGGGGTCCGAGGGTCCAGGAGAGATTTCCTGGCAGAAGGGGGTTTAGCTGGCATTGGGAAAATGAATCATAACAGTCTGAAGATCTGGGTTCAAGTCCTTGCCCTACTCCGACTCCAGACATAAGGGGTCTGGAGGAGCACGTCCCTTCCCTGGGCCTCAGGTTCCTCACCTGTCAAAGGGGGATAATAATAGTCCCTATGTCCCAGGGTTGTTGTGAGGGTGGAGTGAGATAACCACGTGTAAAGTGTTTTGCAAACCTCAGATATTAGCTGTTATTCTCTACAAGCATATATTGAGTTCCCACTGTGTGCCAAGCACTTGGATTAGGCACTGGGGAGACAAATTCAGACAGACCCCTCCTCGGAGGTCAGCCATACTATAGGAGAGGCCATGTGAGGATTCTTTGTCATCTTTCATATGAAGGTCCAGTGAACCACCCAGGGTCACACCACCAAGGAACATCCAAGTCAGGTTTTGGATCTAGGTCTTTCTGACTGGGTCTTGGGCTGATGGAGTAGGGTTCCATGGCTATTTCTGCATCAGTTCAAAGCTTACTATTTCTCAGTGACTGAAGTTTAAACATCCTTGTCCCCCTTTTACAAATGAAGGTGCTGAGCTGAAGCTCAGAGAAACTTGTCTGGCCTCAACAGCACAACTTGGGCTTGAGCCCAGGTCTTCTGATGCTTCCCAAGATGCCCCCCTAATCTAACTAGATGTGCCTATGGGGAGATAGGAAGGAACTGGAAATGAGCCATGAGCCTGGTCTGAAGCGCAGGGTCACTGAGTTTGGGGTGGAGGGAAGCAGGAAGAGTAGAGATGCTGGAGAAGAGCTGAGGGTGGAGGCCCTTGAGGGGCCAACTAAGGCCCTGAACTCTACAGAACTCATGGACACATGAATGCGTGTGAGGAGGACTTGGGCAAGGTCAGGGCTGCTCTTCCCAAAGGAGGCCAGGAGCAGAGCAGGAGAGCACGTTCTGTTCAGATGCTTTCAGAGTAGTTCAGGTGAGAGGTCATAGGCCTGAGCTGGCAGAGTGGGGAGGACGAGAAGGAAGAAGACACTGATGGAGATGTGACAGGGGAGGAGTAAGAAGCCAGGAGGAAGCAGTGGCCCACAAAGCTGGAGGCTGTGGGGGTCAGCTGGGTGTCCCTTACTAAAACAGAGTCCATCAGGAAGGGAGCTTGGTAAACAGGCAAGAGGTATAGCATGTGTTGGCTCCCATAAACAGACACAGAAGTGCATCAGGCATTCATGTTAACCACAACCTCCCCTCAGAAGGGATGACAAGTAGCAACGTCCTGTGTTTAGACTTCCCACGGAAGTCAAAGGTATTGTGGGGGCTGATGATCAGGCAAACTTCTTCCCATGAGACCTGCACTCAGACCAGACATTTAGGCAATATGGCCAGAAGCAATGAGAAGAGCCATAATGGAGGAAGACCCAGCTGGGAGGCCAGAGATGGAGCCAGTGACTGGGGAGTCATTCACCCAGAAGCAAGAAGTGAATTAATTGGAATGTTTGGGATCTAGCTGGTTGATCTCACTGCACTGCGCCCACATTCGTTGTAGCAAAATTAAACAAAGATAATTTCTTGTAACATCCAAACCAGCATAAAGACACCCCCATTTTTCAAGAAAGGAAGGAAGAGAGAAGCCAAATATGTGCGGAGGGAGGAGATGTCAGTAGGTCAGTCAGCAAAGATAGGTCAGGGAGGAGAGTGAGGACTGAGATAAGGGCACTGGGCCTGGGTACCAGCAACTGTGGGAGGAGTATTTTCAGGACAGTGGTGGGATGAGAGAGGTAGGAGAAGAGAGTGAGGGTAGAGAGAAAGGGAGAGGGGAGAGGCGGAGAAAAATAGAGGGTCTGAGAGAGACAGAGAGGATGTCCAAGGGTGGACAAGTGTGTACAAATAAGTGTGTGGTCTGTATGTGAAGGAGTGCCTTCCAAGACATGTAAAGGATGGGATCTTTGCCTCTGTAGGTCCTGACAAAGGACAGAGCTGGACTGGTGTCCATTGGTCTTCTCCATCCCGATCCACTGATTCTGAGGGGCTATTCGTTGGGAGGGAAGGCCCTGCCCCCCTCCCCCAGGTTGGTTCTGTTGCTCTCATCCCTTCATTTCTGTCACTCTTCCCCTCAGGGTCATAAGCAGAATAAATTGGACCAGTGCTTCTGAGTTCCTCCTCCTGGGGCTCTCTGAGAAGCCCGTTCACCAGCCGTTGCTCTTTGGCCTGTTTCTCTCCATGTACCTTGTCACAGTGACTGGCAATGCTCTGATTGTCCTGGCTATCACCTCCGATGCTCGCCTCCACACTCCCATGTATTTCTTCTTTACCAACCTCTCCTTGACTGACATAGCCTCTATCTCTATCACGGTTCCCAAGATGCTGGAAAATATTTGGACTGAGAATCAGACCATCTCCTACATTGAGTGCTTGACCCAGCTTTATTTCTCCATTGTCTTTGTCACGGTAGATAACTTCCTCTTGGCCACCATGGCCTATGACCGTTACGTGGCCATCTGCCGGCCTCTCCACTATACCACAGCTGTGAGCCCAGGTCTTTGTGCTCTGCTGGCCGCCATGTCTTGGGGCCTCACCAACTTGGTCGCTTTGGTTCACGTTTTGTTGCTAGCCCAGCTGCAGTTCTGTAGGGGCAACACTGTTCCCCACTTCTTCTGCGACATGCCCCTGCTGCTACAGCTGGCCTGCTCTGACACTCACCTCAACCAGCTCTTGATCTTGGTCTTGGGAGGCTCTGCCATCCTTCTGCCATTTGGACTCATCCTGGCATCCTACGTCCACATCATCATGGCGATCTTCAAGATCCCAGCAGCCAATGGCCGATGGAAGGCTTTTTCTACCTGTGGCTCCCATCTAACTGTAGTCATTCTGTTCTATGGGACCATCGTTGGTGTTTACTTCCTGCCTTCCTCGACACACTTTGCTGGAGGGGACAAAGTAGCTGCTGTGATGTTTATCGTGGTGACTCCCATGCTTAATCCCTTCATATACAGCCTTAGGAACCAGGACATAAAGAGGGCCCTGGGGAAACTGAGTTTCCGGAGGAGGCCATTTTCCTTGGTCAGGAAATGCTGTGAGCTGAGCAACTGCTAGACCTGGAGCATGCCCATCAGCAGGGGACAGCTTCTCTGAAGCAGCATCTCCAGGTGATAGAATCTAGGCCTGCTAGCCCTAGAAGCTGCTGTAGAGATATCTTGGTTTGATCCTCCCCTGCCAGAAGATCTGTGTTCTCTAATCTCCCTGGGCCTTTCCTTCACAAAGGCAATCCTCTTCCTTTTCCTCTCTGATAGATTCTCTATCCTCTCACCCCTCAAATATTCCAAACTTTCTCATGTCTTCTTAAGCCTGCCACCCACTCAGCTGAGGACTGTGCCTCAGATAACATTGAAAAAATGAAGGGACTATGTATTTGAGGCTATGCCAGTCTAACACTGTGGCCTTTTATGCCAGGATTATTGAACTTGTAGATGAGGAGAATGCTGTGGATGAAATTTACCTAGGCTTTAGCCAGGCTTTTGATAAAGTATTTCATACTTTTCTAGTGGAGAAGATGGAGAGATGTGGAGTAGGAGATAACATTATTCAAGTTGGATGGCTGGACTCCCAGAGTTGCAAATGGTTCAATGTCAGTGTGGCAGGAGGTCTCTAGGGGAGTGCCACAGGGATCTGGGTGTGGTCCTGCACTCTTCAGTATTTGTATCAATGACACTGATATTATGTTCATACATTTGCAGTTGACACAAAGCAAATTGGGACACTAAATGATAGAGTGAAGATCCAAAAGGTCCTTGGCAGGCTAGAATATTGGACTACATTTGAAATCACAAAATTCAGTAGGAATAAATATAAAGTCTTGCATTCAGATACAAAAGCATCAACTTCAGAAGTACCAGATGGCAGAGGCACAATTAAACAAACATCAGTTGTTCTGTAAAAGATCCAGGGATGTCAGTGGACTACAAGCTTGACACGAGTCAGCATTGTGATGTGGTAGTCAAAATAGCTAGTGCAATCTTAGGCTGCAGCACCCATAAGAGTCCCATGGTGTTCCACCCTTTTCAGACCTTATTTCTTTCTCCTTCTGTTCCTGATTTCCCCTGCCCCTCAAGACCACACCTCCTCTAGTGCTGCCTCATCATGGGATTTCCCTCAGTGTCTGGGGCCTCTGTGGCCTGAAATAGCCTCTAGTCCCCTTGGCCCACTATTCCTGAATATCATCTGCAAGACTTGCCCCCATTGGTGAGTTGCTCCTGGAGCCTTCATTTTGTGGAGGATCAAAGGCCAACCTCCCTTCATACTCCTCCTGGCCTCATTCCTGACTTCTCCTAGGCTTCAAAGTCATGCCCCCATGTAGCCAGGTTCTTTCATCTCCCATTCTCCTCCCTCTCTGCTTTTCAATTCCCTTTCATATATAGTTTTTTCTCATTAGAATGTAAGCTCTTTGAAGATAGGGACTTTCCTTCTTCTGGCCTGTATTTGGATCCCCAGCAACTAGCAAAGTGGCTGTCATCCAGAAAGCACTTAATAAATTCTTATTTCCTTCCATTCTTCCTTCTCAATGTTATGGTTTAAGAAGGGCACTGATGCGCTAGAATATCCAGAGGAGGGCAGTCAGGATGGTGAAAGGCTTTCAATCTTTCTTGAGCAAGGACTGGTTGAAGAATTTAGAAGGGAAGACTTGAAGGAGGAAAGGACAGCGGTTTTCAGAGATGTGAAGGGCATGCATTTGGAGCAGGAATTAGCCTCGTTCTAGCTATCACCAGAGGCTGGGACCAGGAGCCCTGGAGGAAAGTGGGAAAGAGGGAGAGAAGACTGCAGCAGATTTTCAGATATTTAAAATCTCCTCGCAGAACAGAACTCTGCCACCGGGTTCACTGTGACTGTTATTGCCCAGCCCTTTTCAGTTGTGTCTTACTCTTCATGGTCCTATTTGGGGTTTTCTTGGCAGAGATGCTGGAGTGGTTTGCTGTTTCCTTCTCCAGCTCATTTTACACATGAGAAAGTGAGGCAAACGGGGTGAAGTGACTTGCCCAGGGTCCAGCAGAGAAGCAGTAGGAACTGTAAGGAGAGGCCACAATGGCATTTTGTTGGGGGTCGCAGATGACAACGAGGCCTCTGGACCCAGTTGGAGGCTTTTGACATGTGGAGATGCTATCTGCAGACAGCCAATCTGTTCCACTATTGAATATGAGGGTAAAGAGGTTGGTGTGGGGAGGACACCAGAGGGAGGTGACCACTGAAATTCAGTCCTGGAAGCTCAATCCACAAGGGTCATGGGCTCCCTTGGTGTCTCAGTTCCCTTTGTCCCCTAAAAATCATGAAAGATTTTGGGCAATGTTCACCAGCCTCAGGTCCTGGTCTGTTTTGGTGTTTCTGTATGGGGTCAGGGTTAAGGAGTGGGGTCCATCAGACACTGTCTTCCCTGAAGATCATCAAGGAGGGGTCCTTCCTTAAATGTCGGCCTAAGGGTGCTGAACCCTCAACATTAAGCGGGAGGCCAGGGCTTGTGCCTGTCTCTGGGAGCACAGCAGGCTCTGGCCACTTGGCTATCCCTGGAGATCAGGAGAAAGGGGCTGATGGTTGGGAAACATAGCACCAGAAATGCAGACACATTCACCAGCCATGAACTGGAATGAAGAAAGTAGTTTTGGTAGACGGCAAAAATTCCATTGGCAAAGTAAAAGGAGACAAAAGTGCTCACCACCAGCAGGATGGACCCAGTGACCCGGATCTCTGGGGAGGCTCGGGGACAGCAGCTGGTCCTGTGCAGGTGCTGGACTTGCTGGTGGTGTTTCCTCAGGAGAATCACCTTGTAGCCACTTGTACATATCATCAGTGCCACACAGAACACATCTCTGAAGGTGGTTAACCACACAAAATTGCTACTTGGTTCTTTCCAGGTACAGAAAATGAGGTCATCTGATACTGTGAAATTGGTGTTGTGTCTCTGTGGGCCTGTAATGCCTATAGCTGTGCCAACTTCTATGAGCAGGCTGAACAGCCAGCAGAAGATGCAAGAAGAGATAACGTACTTGGGGGCTCTGGCTTTGACTCCTTCCCATGGAGAGCTGACGGGACTGATGACAATTGCCTGGAAGCCACTTAACAGGCAAGTGCTACAGAGAGAAAGACACCGGCTAACTCTGTGAAGGTAAAAATCAATTTTACACCAGGTGTCATCCAGGAAATCTTTCACCCCAAATGCAGACATTGTCATTGGGATGCCCCTGGAGAGCAGGAAAATGAAGTTGGCTAAAGTCAGCTGGCCCATGATTTGGTCTGTGGGCCTCAGCTTGCGGCTAGTGAAGATAAAAAAGCACAGGAGGATGGAGTTCCCCAGCACCCCAAGTCCTGTCTGAGAAAGGTAAAGAGTTCCCAGGATCACATCATGTGGAATCATTCCTTCAGTGTTTAAGGGAGAAGAATGATGGCCAGAGTCAGGGGGACCTTGATAGAAAAGAAGAAGTAAAAAATATCAGTGTAGCAAATGTCTTGAGGTGACTCTTCTACTTACCACTCTCACTGGCAAATTCAAGTTGTGTCCCTAGAATATGGCTACTACATCCCCTCAACAGATCCAGGAGTAATCCTGAGATACTGGAAGTGAGGTTGTCTTTGTGATGTCATAGGTCATGAGCCCCCACCAGTGGGTTTCTTTCCATGGTTATCAGTTGATATCATTTAATCTTCTGACATGTAGCTTTTAGAAAAGCTTCTATCTATCTATTTATTAAAGTTTTTTTTTGTTTTTATCATCAACTTAACCTACTATGAACAAAATAGACATGGACATATGCATGGTAGAACATGGCAGAGGCAACTAGGCAGCTCAGTGGAGAGAACATTGGGCTTGGAGTCAGGAAGACTTGAGTTCAAATCTCTCCTCAGACACTTACTGGCAGTGTGACCTCTGCCTCAGTTCTCTCACCTGTAAAATGGGGATAGTAATTGCGCCTACCTCCCAGGGGTGGTTGTAAAGATCACATGAGGTAATATTTGTAAAATGCAGGCACAGTACCTGGCAAATAGTAGGCACGTAATAAATGCTTGTTTCTTTTCTTTCTTCCTTCTAGTCAACTTGCTTTTCTTTTAAAATACATAATACAGTCAATAAAGGGTTTTTTTACTAAGGTGGCAAGTAAGAACAGTAGGTACAAAAGATCCCCCTAAATGTCAATGACAGTATCCCATGTCTTCATACAGGGTCCAGGGGAAAATATGCTGAAGCTTAGAGAGCCCATATGGCAAGGGCTTAACACACAGCCCCTAGAAATTCTTGAGGTATGGTGTGGTTTTCTGCTGGGCTCCTTGTGGAGCTCTGACTCTGCATCTAGTCTGTCCTTGGCACTTAATACAGGCTCTGCCATAGGCTGATCTGGGTCTGCTGCTGGGATGCTGATGGGAAGATGGGAAGTATGCAAGACACACCTTGGTCCATGGCATGGGAGTGTGGAGGGAAGCACGGTGAGGCTGAATCTCCTCCTCCTCCTCTTCACTCTTTCTAGTCTCACTTTCTACCACTAGCTGATCACTTAACTTCAAATCTCTCAATCAATCAATAAACATTTAGTAAGCACCTACTATACGCCAGGTAAGAGCTGGGAACGCGAAAAAAGAGAAAAGATAGTTCTTGCCCTCAAGGAGATTACAATCCAATGGGGGAGACAATATCAAAACATACACAAAGCAAGTTCTATACAGGATAAATAGGAAATTAACTGAGAGAAGGCCCTGGAATTAAGAGGGGTTGGGGAAGGCTTCTTGTAGAAGTGGAGAATTTAGTTGGGTTGTAAAGGAAGCTAGGGAGGTGAGTGGTCAAAGAGGAGGAGGGAAAGTGTTCCAGGCATGGGGGACAGCCAAAGAAAATGCTTGGAGCCAAGGGATGGAGGGTCTTGTTCATGGATCAGCCAGGAGACCAACGTCCTTGGATCGAAGACAACATGTCAGGGAGAAAGATGTGAGAAGATTGGAAAGGTAGGAGGGGGCAGGTTAAGGGGGGCTTTGTATGGTAAGTAAAGCATTTTATATCTACTCCTGGAGGCACCAGTGAGTATGTCAATAGATGCTGAAAAAAGATTTTTATCAAAATCTAATACCTGCATTTGTTAAAAATTTTAGAGGACATAGAAATAGCTGGATCTTTACTTAACATAGTAAATTCTATCTATAAAACATTTTATGCTACAGAGAAAACTTAGAAGCTTTTCCAATAAGATGAAGGGTAAAACAAGAATGTCCATTATCATCATTAGCATTTAACATACTTCTAGAAATGCTAGCTATAGCAGTAAGTTAAGAAAGAGGAACATAGGGAATAAGCATATACAAAAAGAAAGAGAATCCATCCTTTGATGGATGATATGATGATTTACTCAGAAAAGTCCAAAGAGTCAAAAGTAATTAAAATAATAAATGCACTAAATTATATGATACAAAACCAATACAGGTAGATCTTCAGCAGTCCTGTATGTCATCAAAATCCAATGAGAAAAACTAGAAAGAGAAATTCTATTCAGAATGACTACAGAAGCTATAAAACATTTGGGAACATGTACCAACATGCACGCAGGAGCTATATGGCTCCAAATATACAAGACTTTTCAGAAACAAAGACAGATGTGAATAATTGGAGAAACATTAACTATCTATGGTCAGGTCAACCTATATTACAAAAATGATAATAATACATAGATTAATGAATTTTTTTTTCTGTGCTGTCCCAAATGACCAAAGGAACTAGAAAAAGAATGAAATTCATGTTTCAAATTAAACAACTCAAAGGAAATAATGAGAAAAGTGGGAAGAAAGGGGATCTATCAGTACCAGATCTCAAACTCTACTACAACACTATAATCATTAAAACAACTTCGTATTGGTTAAAATACCAAAAGGTCACTTGGCACAACAGATTAGGTATACATCATGCTGAAGCAAACACAGTAGCATAGGGTTCAAGCAACTCTAAGTTCCCAGTTCCTGGGGGAAGGACTTATTTGACAAAAATTACTCAGAAAACTGAAAAGCAGTCTGGCAGAAATTAGGAGCAGATTTCATGGAAGTGCGAGCTGCAGAGTGGTTTCCTTTGGTGACAGAAGAAGATATAATCTCATGTGCTTATCAACATAAGTGTTCACCAAGAGAATACAGAAAGGCACCAGACCCATCCCCGTGAGAATGAGGGGAAGATACTAAATGGAATAGACATCTAGGCATGTCAAGTCTCCTCATATTGAGAACTGAGATGATTGTTAAGGTGCACAAACTCAGCTGACATCACCTATTAGAAATGATTGTCAGGCACTCCTGCCAGACCAGTGAGTCTATTTAAGCCTGTTTTGCACTACCTTTCATTGCCTGCTACATTAGCCAGACTAGCCCAACCCTTGTGAGAATGTCAGTGCCATGTAGGAGAGACTGGGGAAGTGAACAATAGGCAAGGTTTGGAGGAACTAGGAGGGTCTTGACTTGGATGGTCTTGGACTTGGACAACCCTCCTTTGTTGGGGACCCTAGTTGTATACCTGAGAGAGCATGTGGTCAGCTAAAAGGTGTGTCTGCATTTCCTTGAGAGTCCTATGTTGTCTGTAGTTAAGTCTGATGCTAATTCAGAGTACATCAAAGATGTGATCTGAGCCTTTTGATTCTGCCCCAGAGAGGCAAACTGGGTTTCTCATAATTTAACTCAATGCTATTTCATTGGGATAGACTAGTAACATTTGTGACAAGTTGTGCTAATCAGATGCCAGATCTGGCTGTCTTCAGATTACCTAGACACCAGCAGACCTTCTGAAGGATTAGTAGGCTCCATTTCTGTAACTCAGCTAAATAATTCCTATAACCTGCTTATTCCAAAGCTACACCATGTTTAACTGCCTTTCACCATAATCTCAAACTATGTCTCAAATCCTTGACCTTTACCACTACTTGCTGAAGGACAGGAACAGTGAATTGTTTAGGGAACCTTGATTCACAGGGACAGTGGTTCTGTTTCCATTAGCTAGTGGACTGGTCAGGGTATGGGCCTGAGGAAAGGACATTGGGATCAGCCCACAATATGGAAAACCCAGATTTAGTAGAAACCTTCCACCAGTGCTATTCCACCAAGTCTTTGTCCTTGACATTTGGAGATATATTCTTCATCTGCCAGAGATGGATGGTCCACAACTGTACATTCTACACATTTATGCTAGGTCAGTAGACCATCTGGTGGACTTAACCCCCAATAATGCCAACATTTTGGTGTTGGGTGGGGAGGGAAGTAGTGTCACCAGTAACCACACTTGAACTGAATGTTTTTGGAGACAAGTTAGTCAAGATAAGTGATCATCTCTTCAATACTACCAGCCTTTTGCTTCCAGATCATAAAGGGACATCCCTTCTCTGTCATGGATAGCATGTTTCCTTATTGGTTCTCTGGAGTTATGGATGGCCATTGTATCGATCAATGTTCTCACAGTTTTCTATTTGCTTGTTTTTACAGTGTGATTGGTTTTATAGAAATTGTTCTCCTAGTTCTGCCCATTTCATTCACCAACAGTTTCTACAAGTCTTACAGACTGTCCACTTTTATAATATTGATTCTCTAACCCACGTTGTTCTGGTTCTGCTCTTTCATGCTGTATCAGTTCCTGTAAGTAATTTCAAGGCTTCTCTGAAGTCAACTATTTCCTCATTTCTCACAGCACAATAATTCTCCATTACATTAAAACATGACCATTCCCCAATTGATATGCATCCCCTCAAATTTTCAGGGTTTATTTTGTTATTAAAAAACTGCCATAAACATTTTTATAACCTTTTCCTCTTTCTGTGATCTCTTTTGGCTAAAAACAAGCAGTTCACTAAAATGAATAAACATTTCAGTTATGTCTTAGGATGTGTATGTACAACATTCCACACCTATAGCTGCTCACCTCTTCAAAGAAGGTTAGGAGGTGCATTTTCTCAACTGTTTTCTAGGTCCAGCCCTGGTCATTATAATTACAATGTTCAGTTTCTATGTTTTGATCTTTTCCTTCACTTTGCCACAGTTATTATGTATATTGCTTTCCTGGTTCTGTTGACTTCACTCTCCATTGGTTCATATAAATGTTCCCACACTTCTCTGATTTCATCGTTATTGTTTCTTAAAATGCAGTAGTATTTTATTTTGGTAATGTACCACCATTTAGTTATCCATTCCCCAACTGACAGGAATCTATTGTCTTTCCAATTCTTTGTTTCCTCAAAAGTGTTGCTGTAAATATTTTGTTGTGTATGAGACCTTTCTTTCTGTCTTTGACCACCGTGAGTTATCTGCCTAAAAGTAGGACCTCTGAGTGAGAGGGCCTACTCATTTTAGTATCTTTCAACAACAACTCCAAATTGCTTTCTGGAGTGGTTGTACTGATTCCCTAATCCATCAACAATATATCAGTACACCTACCTTCTGATTGCTCCTCCAACACTCAATATTTCCACATTTTGCCTCCTCAACAATGTAGTAGGTTTAAATATAATTTTAGAGTTTCAGTGTTCAATTCTCATATTATTAGTAACATATGACAGTCTTTTATGTACCCATGAATAGTTTTCAGTTTTCTTTTGTGAATTGTTTGTACCCTTTGATCACTTATACATTGGGAATGGAACTTTT